CGCCCCGCCGAGCTCTTGGAGGTGGGGGCTCAGAGAACGCTGCGGGTAGGAGCTTGTCGCAGCTGCCCTCAAGCGGGGCGAGGGCTGGCGGGAGTGGCGGGCCCTGCGGCGCGCGCTCGGCGGCCGGGCTGGCGCCCCGGTGCGCATGCGCCGCGAGACAGCCCGCGCGGCCCCGCACAGCCCTGCGGGAGGAGCGACCGTCCTCCCTCCTGGTACCCGGTGGGAGGTGAAACAGGTCGGAGAAAGCCCTCGCGTGGACACTTACCTGAACTGTAAGGAGCAGGAGGGGAGGGGCTCCAGTTGTGCCTTCAGGCTGCTCGGGGCAGAACAGGGGGTCGCGGCGGGCAGCGCGCAGAGTCGCCTTAGCTGGATGTGCTAACTTTTGAACTGAGGCAATGCCAGAGGCCGGAGTGTCCGCAGCGCATCTGCCTTAACTTGTTTTGAAATGAGAAACCAAAGACCATTTATTATTATTCCGACTATAAAATTTCCCCGGAATCTTTAACTTTTCATAGGAAATGGTGATGATTCAAATCTCATAGCAAAAGATTTAGAAAAGGAACCTGAAGCATTTACTTTGCTCTTGCCACAGTTTATTATTAATTTATCTAATAGGACCTCCTGCTTTTTCTTTTTCTATGCCTTTTTTCCTTCCTAGAGGAGTATCCAGCTGAAAAGCAATAAAAAATTTCCGCCTTTATCCTTCCTTGATGGAACAAACTGCTTTTGAAAACCGTACAAGATAGTTACTAAGGAAATTCACAATTTAAATGAGAGTAGCCTGAGGATATTAACTTTGTTAAAATAACTTACTTTCAAGTAAAAATTATGCCAAATGGCCAAAGATCAGTCGTAGGACCTCTGTCAAACACGTTACTGTTTGTATCTATCAAATGTAAGCAAAACAAAACAATTTTTCTTAAACTACCCATAATTTGGCCTTTCCACCAATTTCTACCGAATTTTATTTGAAACTGCACAGAAGATGTAATACTTCACTTAACAGCACAGAATTTAGGTTAAAATCAGAAATTTTCATTTTATGAAATAGAAGCTGATATCACTATTAAGTGGGTGATAGCAGCCATTTACAATGGTTTATAAATGAATTTTCCCATCATCCCCATCTTACATCTTTCACACAGACAGGACACCATCTCCCTGTAAAAGACCTTACACAGCCACCCACTCTAGAGGTAGCGCCTGGGAGTTTCTCATAATATTCTGCATGGATGTTACCATTTCATATACTGCATTGTTTTGTAATTACCTGCTTGTGTCTTTCCCCTCTCCTAGGGCTGTACATTTTTGGAGAGGTGGAATTGTCATGTTTTTCTATTCCCAGTACTTTGCACAGAACCTGACACAAAAGTATTTGATAAATGCCTATTGATTAGTTAAAAACCCAGGGTGCCTTCCAAGTCTGACAAGACAGTGTAACCATTTTAATGATTTTGTAGCATGCTTGAGACTTTTCCAAAAGGAAGACTAGTATGTACCTGGGGTAGGTACAAGAACCATCCATGTCAGAATTTGTCTGATGATTAGAACCCTACAGTTGACCTGGGTGCCCCAGGCTTTCCGATTATTTCTCACTAGCTGACAAGAGCACCCTCTGTTTCTGCTCTGAAACAGTGTGCATTTGTCTGCTGATAGTAATTTTTCTATGTAGCTAGTCCTGTAAGGGAAAGAACCACAGAGCTGCATCTTCTAGTCTTCTTAGCAATTATATTTCTCATAGTAAATTGGAAAGTTGACATTGTAGTTATCAGTCAGGCTCCTATTGTTTTCCAGGGACCTGTTTATTTCTGGCTGAAGTGATAAAATTGGGTTCTTGGTCTTGCAAAGAAGAGGGCTGACCCAAGATCTGTGCCACATAAAAAGGCAAGAGGTTCGGCCTGCCCGCTAGCTGTGCTTTAACTGCTTCCACTTAGAAATTTTTTTTTTTTAATCTCAAGAGGCGGGTAAACCATACAGGAAACTAGTTCAAGCAAAACTTTAAAACTTCATTTGGTTTTTTGACATACAATGGAGTATCTAAAGATCTTTCCCTGAGTTTGTATTAAACAAGTATTTTTAAAGAATTAAAGCTTAAAAGTTTCCTATAAAATGATAGAATCAGGATTCTTTAAGCAGTGGTTCTCAGACTTTAGTGTGCATCAAAATCCCAAAGGCATGTTAAAATGGATTGCCAGGCCCCACCCAGTTTCTGATTTTACAGGTCTGGGCTGAGACCTGATAATTTGCATTTCTACCAAGTTCCCAGTGATGCCTTTGCTGCTTTGAGAACCACTGCCCTAAAGGTGGTTTCCTTTTTTACTTTTCTTCTTCCCTCCTTATCCCTTAGTTGTCAGAGCCCACTCTTAAAAGAGATCTTATAGGAAATTTTCAAAAAGCTCATAGAACTCCAAGGGGAAACCATCTTTCCTTTCTGGTTCTTCAAAGAACCTGAAAAAATGTTTTTCCTTTTTTTTTTTTTTTCAATAATTTAAATAGGAAATGATCATTCTAGAAAAATAATCTGGTTGAGTGTATATCGGAATTATTAAATCAATCTCCTTTTATGTATATAGGCATTTTACTGTAGAAATATGAATTGTCCACCATTGGGGAAGAGTAGGGATTCTTGGCAAAAAAAACAAGTCATATTCCCTCATATTGCCCCTCCACCTCTCAGTTGAAAAACACTGTTTTTATTAATTCATTAAAAAAGACAATTCCAACAGCACAATATAACTTATTATACACACTTCAGGATTTTTTTGGTTGTTTGATTTTTGGAAGAGATGCTACTACCATGGAAAATTGTCTCTTTGTTGCCTAGCAAGTGCTAACTTTTTTTGTCTTCAAATAGTAAACATAAACAGCCATGTTTATTTGTTCTGATAGTTTCAACTTTTTCCCTAAAGTTTGTGAAATCAAACCATTAATTTCTACCTATTGGCTTGTATGTGGCCTCGCACTCTATCTGTTTAAGACTTTCAGACATTGATTCCTTATTTTGATAATTCTGAATTTTCCAGTCACAAAATTTGTTTTCAGATAAAATGTTGTATTTAACTGCATGTTCCAGCTACATGTAAAGCTTTATTAGGAGGGAAAAAGAAGAATTTTACAGATTTTTTTTATACACCCTGAATTATATCGTAATAGTTGCCACGCTTATGAATATTGTTTGTCAGATGTTGCTAAATCCCTTATGTACATCATTTTACATAAGTTTCACAAAAATCCTATGAGATATATAGCCCCTGCTTTCACTCCTAAAAACATGTACAAAAATCTGATGTGAGATCTCATATCCAGAGACCTAAAAATAATCATAATGTTCTAGATTACATTTCATCTTTTAGAAACAGCCTTTAATGAATATTTCCAGTATTCTACATGTGCCTTGCAACGTTTTTTTTCTTAAATACACAGTGAAGATAACTTGAGTATCAGATAAAGGCCAAACAATATGTTTATTGTTGTTTCACTTGTATTAAACTTGTTAATCGTTATTGCTAGTATTAGTTAGAATTGTAATTTTTTCCTTTTTTATAAAATAAAGACAAAATTTGATAAGATGTTTCCTAACCAAATTAGACATTTTTTACAATGAAGATCAAGTTTCTGACTAGTCTTGTCTAGCAGACTGTTATATCGTCTTAGCTCAGAGTTGTCTCACTTAATGAAAATGTTTAAATTTCAAATTAAAGGACAATCTGTGGTGACAGTCCATATTACACAGGTGCTTCCACTGTGATGACATGTACATTCCTGGAAATCCTGACACTCTGCAAGATAATACACTAAAATAACAGGGTTTATGGAGAAACCATATACACCAGTCAAAGTAAGACCTGTGGAAATCTCTACCTTTTCCATCTGTGCCAGCAGCTTCCCAGGTTGCTTGATGTAGTGGAAAACGCAAGGATACTTGAAGCCACCAACCATCTGCTTCTTAATCCAAGAAAGGAACTCCCGGGGGATTTTCAGGTTTTCGCTTAAGTCTTTAAGTATAGCGAAAGCCTTTTTGTAATTGTAGAAAGCCCACCTCTGATCACTCCAAATCATGAACATGCTGAGGAAAAGCTGCATATCATATAACGTCTTTTTCCCATTTACTGATTGCAAATGCACATAATCTAATTCCCATCCAAGAAACTTTTTTTATAGCAGAATAGACTGCTCTTCGACCACCTGTGTTATTTACCAAGTGAGGAAACAGGAGAAATAACTTGCCCTTGCTCACTCAGCTAGTTAGTGCTAGAGTCAAGATTTGAATACAGATCTCAGACCCTCCAGCCCCGCTTCCCCCACTATTGTGCAGGCTGCCTTCTCTGACAGCGTCCTGACAAAGTGGTTTTGACTTGCACTGGCTTAGACCAGCACAATCCAATAGAAATATAATGTGAGCCATAGAAGTAATTTTACGTTTTCTAGTAGCAAATTGCAGAAGAATTAAAACCAGGTTGTGTTTTGCTTTTTAAAAAGCAAGAAGAAACAAGGGAAATGCATTTTAATACATTATTTCAATATCTAACCGATACAAAAAAATACGAGATACTTTGCACTTTTTTTTGTACTAAATCTTTAAAATCCAATGGGTACTTCACACTTAAAATACTTCAAGTGCTCAGTAGCCACATGCAGCTAGCAGCTACCATATTAGACTGCACAGGCCTAGATTCTAATTCTCTTTCTCTACTGCAATGTGAGTCTTTTTAAGAAATAACCTAGTCACAAAAAGCAAGAAACACCCGACTCTTAATCTGTAATGGCCAAATTTTTTTTATGTTTTTTCTTTCTAAATCTAGAAACCATAACTTAATGTTCAGACTTGTATTTGAGAACATTTTATTTTCATTGGGAAAATCTGCTGCCCCATTTCCAAGTAGTAATGTCTTTGATTAGTCATTGCTCAGCAGTAGTTTAGTTCTGCCCTGTGATACAAAGTGAACAATGAATAATTTTTCTGGACAACTGAAGACCAATACTTTAAGTACAGGAACTTTTTCTTGCTTTGATATTTTTTATGGAAACGCTTCTAAAACATGCTATATAATTCTCTGTACAACATACTTTATGTTCCATTTCATGTTTGAAAGTTATAAAGGATACTTTTTTTTTTATTTTTGCAATTTTGCTGTAGGTAATTCTTTGGAGACTAATTCTGAACTAACTCTTAAATCCTATAAGCTGTTTTCTTGGCTAAATCAGCTATATTTCCTATCAATTTTTACTCATAAATGTGTAGATATGTAAATTCCTGAATAGTGTCTTGGCTGCCTGCCTCTGAAATTCTTTATGAATCAGATTCGAACCAGCTAGTCTTTTCAAAATTGATTTCAAAGTTTTTATTGTTTTTTGTGTGTGCTTTAACTTTCAAACTTCAAAACATTTATTTCAAATCAGTTATAACAGTTTCTTTTCTTTTGATGCGTTGCTTTTGAAACGAGTAAAGCATGTTATTTAGATCACCGATGTTGTTCGTCAGATGGAGCCATTTCGATTTTATGAATTTCTAAGATCGTGCTGCAAAAGACAGTCAAAACAGGTTGTATCGTTGCAGTCATAGGCCTGGGTGCATTGTTTAGGAATTTTAGCTTTTCAAGCCTGCTTTTCGGATCATTTTATGCTGAATAACAGATGGTGGTTGGAGCTTTGCTGCATAGTATTTCATCTTTTCAGTCAGATTCTCGGATGATCATATGCTCTCAAGTATTATTCCTCATTCCTTAGCCACAGTTTTAGCTCACTTATTAGTATCTTTGCAGTTAAATGGCATAAATTTTTTTGAATAATATAAAAACCGAAATGTCATTACGTGTGAGTGTGGAGAGCTGTTAAGTCTTGTTGAGACAGATCTAGAACACAGCCCTGGGCTGTCTTTGGGCAGGTTTCCCAGAGCTGGGGGCCTGTCCCAAACACTGAGTGAACAACAAAAAAAAACTGTATTCGTTCTTCATTTAATTTATGTGACAAAAACATTGATTTTTTTTAAAGATCGTGTTACATGTTCATTGTAAATAAACTAGATTAAAAAAAAATTAAAACACTTAATATCCTACCACCTAGAGATAGCTAGTTACAGATTGCGTATGTATGTCCTTCTAGTCTTTCCTGTGCAAGCTTTGAGGCTTGTACCTGTGCTGTCTTCGCTAAGTCCGAATTTGATTTTTTTAAAGATTTTGCATAAAGATTTTTGTATTTTGGATAATAGCCTTTTTTCAGAGATGAGTGTCTTTTGCAAATATTTTCTCCCAGACTGTGGCGTGTCTTCTCATTCTCTCCTACATTTTCCGTTAGAGAGCACGGGTTTTTAGTTTCAGTGACGTTCACTTTATCCGTTCTTTCTCCAGTACCGCCCGTCTTGATGCCTGTAGCTTTAGAGTAAGTCTTGATGTTGGGTGGTGTCGGTCCCCCAGCTCTGTTCTTCAGTACTGACTTGACTGTTCCGTGTCATTTGCCTCTCCATATACACTTCAGAATGAGTTTGTCGATACCCGTAAAATAACTCCCTGGGGTTTTAATTGGGAACGCACTGACTCTATACAGCAAGTTAGGAAGAACTGATATCCAGACAATGTTGACTCTTCCTAGCCATCACCATGGATTATCTCTCCATTTATGTAGCTCTTCTTTGACTTCCTTCATCAGAGTTTTGTAGTTTTCTTCGTACAGATCTTGTACCTATTTTGTTAGATTTATAGCTAAGTAGTATACCATTTTGGTGGGTGCTAATGTAAATGGTAATGATTTTATTTTCAAATTCCACTCATTCATTACTGCTGTCTGCTTAACTCTTTAAGCGATTAATGGATGCCTGGAAGTTGACGTACACAGATGTTCAGAAATGTTTTGCCACCTGAGACCTGTAAGGAGGTAAGCTTTGTGGTCCGATCTATAATTAGTATTGCGGGGAGAGGATATCTGTTCTGCATTTGGCTGATCTTAATTTATTGTTATTTTTTAAGTTCTAAAGTTATATTATGGCAGAAGGCAAGAAAAAAAGAAAGAAAATGAAAATTTATAGGAACAGCCAGCTCCTGCAAGTGTCCATTCGGAGCAGAAAGTGAAAAGACTGCCATCTTTCAGAATAGTTAAGTGAGAAAAGCTCAAGAGGAAAAAAAGATGACGTTTGTCCTTAGCACAGTTTTTATCATGTCGCCCTCAAGTCTACTGCTATCATACAGAAAACCACTTTACATTTCAATCGTAAAGTCATTTCACTGCTGCATTTGCTATTAATGTATGTATCATCTAAATCCTAAGTCGAGCTCCTTCCAGCAAGACACAGGACTCCTCCACTGGGTGGTTTTGGCTCAAGGACTCCCCGTTGGCACGGCTGAGCCCTTCTTGGAACTCTGCTGCAGCCCAAGACTGTCTACCCAACACTCCTTCCTTCCCTCACTCCTTCCGCAGGTGTCAGGCCCGAATCATGGTCCGAAAGCTCTCCCTACCTTCTCCTAAATTTCCCAGTAATTCTCTTGCCCATCTAATCCTGTCTGGGCCTCTGCTTCTCAGCAGACCCAGACTAACACAGCGAACAACAACATATGCGTAAAGCCGCCCTGCGAGATACAGAGATAGTTGAGGATGGGTAGGTGGACGGAGAGAAGAACAAATGAAAACAAATCGTTTACACCTTAAAGGGGTATGGTGGGCCACACAGTTACTTTTTTTAGAGTTTAGAAAAGGTAAAGACCATTTATAATGAGGATTCCAAAGGGAAGGTTCTGGGGGAAGTGGGTACATTGCTTCCTGACACATAGTTGGCGTGCAGTAATTATTTAGTGAGCACAGTTTGGGTGGGTGGAAGTGGGGGACAGAGAAGTATTAGAGCTTAGACATCATGTAGCACAGGGAAGAATGGGGATGGTCACTGGGGCTGGACCGAGGGTTTCCGTAAGGAGTTATTGGAGATTAAGTTGGAAAGATAGATTGGATAGGATTATAGAGCCCTTGAAATACCAGACTAAGGAGTGGATTTTATTCTGCAGGAGTTGAAAAGACCATCTAAGATATCTTAATAGGGAATACAGTGATAGTGGGGCTTTGAGAAAATCAACTTGTGTACAGTGCGGTTAAGGCAAAGAGGAGAGTGAGTAGCCTGAGAGGCTGTGCAGCCCGGTTCTGTGGTGATAATGGCAGCAGAGAAAACGGAAAGAAGGAATGATTTCAAGGGACATTGTCAAGGGAGAAGAAACAAGACTTCAGGACTGACTGGAAATGGGGTGGGGTTGCTGAGCTGATTTAGGCAGTGGTCAGTCTGAGGTTTTGCACTTGGCAACATTGAGAAATAAGAAATAAGGAAGAAAGCCCTGGGTCGAACTGTCTTAACTGCTCCCTTGCCTTCTGTATCCCGGCTGAGTTTAGAAGGAAGATAATGACCTCTGCTCCTTTTTTTAGACTTGCAAAATTTGAGAGGCCGGCAGGATGGCTAAGTGTCTGTCAGGCATTTGGAAATGAGAGCCGAAGTTCAGATGGGGGATAGAGCTGTCACATTGACTCACACGGCCTCGTGCTGAGGGCGTTCATAGCTGGCTTACTGTTTCCTTTACTGTTCAAACTCCTGTTCTACTCTTGAATGCACGACCTATATGTTGACTTTATAAAAGGTTCAAATACATGCAAAAAAAAAACAAATCAAAAGGTAATCTGAAAATACGTTGGCGGTCTCCAGATTGTTTAAAAAACAAAAAACCCTCCAGAAATTATTCTATAATCCTACCATTTTAAAAATCTCAAACTTTTTAAAAGACTCAGTACATCTAATGTATGAGACAAAAATGTGTCCAATGTTTAGAGACTCCTCTACATAGCCTGCTATTAGAATAGAAAAGGTAAATTATAATGTACAAAAATAGATGTCGTGGAAGTGCGTCCCAAAAGTTGCAAATAATTTCATTTGGGTTTAAAACCGTACTTTAAAAAAACACTCTCAAGTGCATTATGCCAAAACTTAAGAATAAAATCAAGTTATCCAACTAGAATAATATTAGCATGCTAGTAATGAGGAAATAAACTAAGAGACATCTGTATCTTCTTTTTTAAGCATTATAATTCTCAAAATATCTTTTACTATGAAAAGATTACGCCATGGATATTGAGGGGGTGTTCTTAATCTGAAAAAAACAATTCTATAGAAAATTGTCGTCATTTGTAGTGATGCCAGTTAACGTTTCCAAATAGGCTTTTCAGGGGATTTTTTTATTATTATTATTTAATATTCTCTCTCACATTGTATCTGAGGAATGTATATCCACTGTTTTTGGAAACTGGTGCTCACTGCTTCTTAAAACCTCATAGGTTTCAGGAAAACCACAGTTTTGCATCTTGGTTTCTTTCTTGTTTCTATGGTTTTTCTCTACATAATAATTGTAATGTTGCTGTCTCTGTATACACTGGGGATCTGCGGGGACGTCCGTGCCTCAACAAATAATAAATCCCCATCTTTTTTAAAGGTTATGTCTGGAGAAGGCATTTCCACACTGGTTTCTCTACTCAAGAGCTTTTTCAGGAGCCGAAGCAGTTAATGCCTTGAGGCCATTCTATTTCGCAGTGCACCCAGACTTCTTTGGACAGCACCCCAGAGAAAGGGTAAACATTTATTTATTTTTTTTAACCTTTAGTCCACGTGGCTGTTTAGTTTATGTACCTCCGATACAGTATAATGCAGAGTTCTATATAAATTTGCATTGTTCTGTGGGAGCAACATAATCAGTGCTTTGAACTAATTTGAAATACAGATACTGAAAAGTGAAAATATATTGATTTTTATGAAGTCTGTCATTTTTTATGCAGGCAATAAAGCTATTATAATTGCGATTAGAGTATTAGTAATCGTGTTTTCTGTACTAGTTTTTAGAGTAAAACCGAGGGTTTGAAAGAAAACTTAAGGCCTCCATTCCCATGATCAGTCCTGTTTATAAGGATGATATGAGAAAGCTTTTTCGGCACCCTAATGGTTGTCCTTTACGTCACATACTGCTGGTCCACCTCTCCGTGACATCATTTCATGTGTGCTCAGGGAATGCAAACTGATGTGAAAAACAACTTATGATAAACTCAGGAAGGCCAGTATTTTTAACATTAGATAATAAATTACAAAGCCAAATGCTTTGGAATTATTTCATTGGTTCCTTTTATCTTCCTTCACATTAATAGCTGGTTGAACACAAAAAGGAATTTAAAATTCTTGAAAATTAGAACATTATCACGTTACTTTTTTCTACTTGCAATGGAAAATAAATTTTGCTTCTTTGCTTTAGGAAAATATTCTGATTATGATATTTGATAGATGTTGGCTATTCAAAGTCAGATCCTTTCTAAGTAATTAGTAAATTGAATCAACAGAAAAATATTCATTACCTTGGAGATGTAGTAATTTAATAAAGATTATCAAGATGTAATAAATTAATATAATTTAATTTAATGTTTACTCATTTAAAATTTTTAAACCCAAGATGTATGGAAAAATTAAGCCTAGTAGATGATTGTTTTCCCTCCTCTGCCATTGCTGTGAAAGACCAACATTTTTAATACTGAATTATTTAATAATGTGTTAAAAAGTCAGGACATAATTTCTGTTGTTTCCCTGTTCTATTTTGTGGGTAAATGCCCCTTAATATGTCTTTCCAGGAAGTCAATGAAAATTCGCTTCAGAGATTAAGTGTCTACTTAGAAAATCTCCAGAAACCAGGCTTCAAGTCTTTGAAACCCACTCAGCTTACGTTTTATGTTAGAGAAACAGACCAGAACTCCTCCGATGGCCAGGAACCCTTTAGCGCTTCCGGTACGCCTTCCTGTATATTGTGTGTCCTTTGCAAGCTTCAGGTAAAAATGGGGTCACTCAGTCTGATGTTGCCAGAATACCTTTGGATTGAAACCGTCGTCATAGAAACTCAGGGTCAAGGTTGGGCTAGGAATTGAAAAAAACATCATACTTAAGCATGATTTCGTGAGTTCTCTATGACAGATGGATTTGTAAAGGCAAATTATATCCTTTACAACTTTTGAAATACAAGTATCAGCAGTCCGTTTCCATTTTTATGTGTTTGGGAGAGTCAAGCTTGTTTCTGCAGCTACAGCTGCTACTTCCACTCCCACCATCAGCTAGATTTGTCTTAAATATTGAATATACATGGAGTTAAAGAATAAACCAAATTTATTTGTTAGGAAGGGAAAAAATAGAGGGAAACTTAGAAAGCTTCACACAGTAAGTTAAGGACAGAGCTGGTCCTAGAAATAATATCTCCTTATTCCTAGTCTGTCGTTTTGATTTATATACCACATTACCTACTAATTCTTCTTTAAAAATATTGATCACTTTTGCCTTTGCTGTATGACAAGACTGGCACTTTGACACAGATCTGAAACATTTTTATGTCTTTAATCTTTTTACCTGATTATAAAATTAAGATCAAGTATTTTTTAAGTTTTTATTTTCAGAACACTAGAAATCTTTAATCACCTTTTTATTGATAATTAAGATGATTAAAATGTTTGCTAGTGATATTCTTACTGAAATTAAATCTTTTCTTCAGCCCTACCTCTTTTTGGTGGTCTATGAGGAAATACACTGTATTATTAAAATAAATTTTAAAACAAGTTAAAAATTTACTAAGAGCTTTCTGTGAGTTAAGCTAAAACAAATGGTTGTAGTCAGCTATGACAGAATAAAGACAAAAATCTGCTTTCCATTAATGGGTAACTTTGAACCATTCATTAAACAAAAATAGATTATAGAAAAAAATAAGCTAGAAATGGGAGAAAACATACAGCATGTATGACAAAAAGTTGATGTTATATATAAAGAGCTCTTAGGTTTCAAATAGAAAACACAGGGTAGCTCTGTTACAAAAATGGGCGAAGATAATGACTGGACAGTTCAGAAAGTGAAACATACAAATAGCCACTAAACATACTAGACTAGGCATTCCTAACTATATAGCAGCCCATACATGGATTAAATAATTAATGGCATTGATAAGACAAAAACTGAGATTTTTTTTCCTTGACTAGCTCTTCTAAGGATCATTGATTTCTTTTAACCTTAAATGCAGGATTTTCCTTTCCTTTTTCATTGACTAGGATAACACTGTTATTTCTCACTTTACCCTCAAGTGATTCAACTAAAAAAGTCTTAATTTGCATGTTCTAGATTCCTTAAGGGTATGTGACAAGAGACTATGTATCCCTGAGAATGCTCTAAATTGTGGTATCTGTCATCATTGGCAAAGACAAGAAAATACCTTTCAGTCATGTAAGGAATGTGAAAAATTAAATTTAACTTTTATATCCATCAGTCTCAGAAATCTTAAATAAATTATGCTCCCGTCATTATATGGACTAGCATACAGCTACTGAAAAGAATGAGGTTGATCTATATATATAGATATGGAAGGGTCACCAAGGTTAAATGGCAAAAGCAAGTTCAAAGTAATATTTCCAGAACGATACCATTTACATATTAAAAAGAAACAGTTCAAACTGCGGGTGTGTTTGTGTAAACACGTATGCATGATATCGTATATGATATACATCCACACAAGCACATAGAAAGGTCTAGAACAGTGCTGTCCAAGAGAACTTTCTGCAGTGATATAAGCTACCGTCTATTCTGTATCTGTACTCGTATAGCGGGCGCTGGCCCCCTGTGGCTGGTGAGTGCTCGAACTGTGGCTAGTGTTACCAGGACCTAAATTTAAAATTTTTATTTGATTTTAATTCATTTAATTCGAAACAGCCACAATTGGATAGTAACTACCATGTTAGACGTTACAGGAGGGAAAGCACACGTACCTAGCTGTTAACGGCAGTCACGTCTGGTGAAAGTGCGAGGTCGTGTGCCTATTAAGAGGAGACTTTTATTTTTACTATACACATCTCTCTAATTTTATAATAAAGATGTACTTACATATATATTTGTATAATTTTCAAAACCAATTTAAAAAAATGTTTTAAAGAAAACGTGTTGTAAGGAAGAAAGTACTTGGCTTGATGTCAACTCAGGTTTCAGCCTCCTCCATTCTTTATACCCTCCTCAGACCTGCATTTCTTCACGTTTGAAAAGAGAGATTAATAATAGCACAGTTGGTGGGAGTGCTGAATGAAAAGTTAAAAGTTATGTAAATTCAACCAGAACCAGGCCTAACACGAATACCAAAATTAGATCGTGAAGCACTAACTTTTAAACAATTAGGGAATTTTAAATCACTTTCGAAAATATTGAGTTACTAACTACTTGGGTGGGCAAGTATGAGGAGAATCTCTTTCAGTCACAGAGAAAATTCTAGATGAGTTTCTGTCACCACTGGGACCAAGTCGTCTGGCTCCTCTCCTCTTCGGAACCAGTGTCGCACGGCGGCCTCCCTCCTCTCCAGTCCCCTTCGTCTTGATGCTAGAAACCATCGTGGGTAGACGCTTGCTCACAGGAGAGCTTTTCTGTCTCTCAGACTGGAGAGATCGAGTTTATGGGCAGCATTGGAAATATTCTGAATCCCCTTCTTGAGCTGGGATGGGTTTGATCCCTGGTGCAAACTAGAAAAGGGAACTGACAATTTGAGGGATTCATGAAGGTGAAGATAGTGTTGGTATAGATTTGGAGACAGGAAGTGTAGCGTTCCATCGACAGATGATTAGCTAGTAGGGTACATGTTAATCGGTAATGGAATGTTGTAAAAGATTTCGATTTTATAAATGCATGAAATGATTTGTAAATAAAGCAAATAATCATCTGTATTCACTGGGGGAATTATATTCTCTAGGATTTCGAGCAGTCAAATTTACTTTGCACACCAGAGATCTGCTAAGCACAGTATTATATATTCTCAACTCCTGCAGTTTATCAGTTGAACATATCCAAAGCTCGAATAGCAATGTGCATTCTCAGCCTCTCAAAGCGGCGAAAAGGATGTCTGACAGGCCCATCAAATGGGACAAGTCTTATTACTCCTTTACTGGATTTAAAGATCCGGACGAAGATCTCGAACAAGTCTTGAGAATGGAAACAACCCTGACGTACGTGCGAGTTTTTATTTAAACTTTTCTGTAGTTTATGTTTAAAAAGAAAGTCCGTTTTTTCAGGAAAAGTAATACTATCAATATAGTTAACCCAGTAAACATTATGAAAAAGATATCTCATGTTTCTTAAAGTTATCAGAATACTTCTAATTGTATTAAATTTTTGATCTTTTGATACCCAACACATGCAAGAGATTGTTCTGGTTAAGATTTTTAAAAATTCTTCCCCTCATTACCCTTGGTATATGGAGAAAGGATTTATCTAAGACTATAAAAAAAATTTAAGCTTCTTCATGTGTTAAGCATTTTCAGTTTCTTTGGAGAGTTCAGTAGTAATGTTCCGTAGTGTAATAATCCACACATAATAAAAATACATGGAGACATCACTTAGAAATGCCATCTGGAACAGACTGAGGGGAAAAAAACAGATTTTAATTATAAAAACCATGTACAAAATGTTTCTATTATTTATCCATAAGTTACCGTTACTGTATTTTGATTAAGTCATTTTTGGACTCCATGAAGACCAGCCACATTGTGTCCCTGTGGTTGTATCTAAAGAATCTGTGGCTTACCAGAGGGTTCTCACTCATTACAGCGTGGTAAATTATCCACTGGCAGAGCATTTGGTCTGTGGGTCATCTGTGCTAACTCAGGAATTCCTCCCTCATTTAGCTAGATTTAGCTAGATCTCAAATAAGGATGAAGAGACGGGAGGGCAGCAGAGTCCACTACAGACAGGGAGACAAATGTCTGTCTGAAGGCGTGTGTGTGCATATCTATGTGTATTGGTCTGTGGTGATAGTCCACCTCCGATATATCTCTATGTGTCACTGATAGATAAGTCACCTCCCTAAATATGTGGATTTTCATTGTTCAGATTCCCTTCTGTAAATAAAACCAAGGAAAGCATGGCTTTGGGAAGTAGGAAATAGGGCTAAAAAAAAAACAAAGAACAGTCATGGTGGAATAGAGATTGATGACTTTAAAAACTAGTTAGGAAAACAGAAGACATGATTGAAGATAAATTACACACAGAGGCTACAGTGGGAATCAGATTGCTGTGAGCATGAGCTGGATGGAAGAGAGGTTCTCAGCCTTGCCCGTGAAACTTCTGCTTACACCCTTAAGACCTGTTGCTCTTACTTATCTAGTGAACAAGGGGTTGGGAACAAGGGGTTGGGAATGCTTGGTGGAAAGGGTATAGAAAAAAATTGGGATTGGATAAGTCACGGCAAAAAAGCACAAATAAGAGTTGTTGGATCTTGACTCAAGCTAAAGGGCTTAAAAATAACACGTTACAGAAATTCAGAGAAGCAGTTAGTCTGTGGTTCAGTTAAATGTTTTTTAGGGTATAGTTTTGGTCTGGAGCTGGATGTGCAGCCATCGTGAAAAGATTATCCTAAAGACCCGGAACTCAGAGTTAGCCAGCTGGCAAACTAATGAAAACAAATTGAAACTATGAAAAGTCAATTCAACAAGATAAGTGGTATTCAACTGGATTCCTTGTCCAAGATGAGTATTTATAATTTATTTCTATGTTGTTCATCTAATAAAATTCCTCAGTCTTTAATAAAAGTAGACTTTCCTAATTATACAACATTGTAAAATATACAATTTTTTAAACTTTCCTATATATTTGAAGCTTTTTATAATAATGTATTCAAGAAAATTTTTTTAAGTAGATTTTTCTTACATTATATATATTAGGTAGTTTTGAAGAGTAGGAAACACGTTTTAATCATCTGTGTGTCTATTGATCTGTCTCAGATTCATAAAACCTATCCAACTATTTTTATTAAACAGAATTAAAAACTGTTGAATGGATGTGAATATGAAATGCAGGGGCTCAGTATGGAGAACTCAAGGTTTAATATGGAAATGTAAAGTAGCTTAATACACAGATGGTAGCAGTGCAAGTGACTTAGTAATGAATGTAGAGAATCTTTTTTTTTTTTTTTGAGAATCATTTTTTAATGGTGCCTTTTAATTTCATTAGTGTTTACTAAAAAATGTCTGCTGTTTTCAGCAAGAGATACATCATCTTAGGGAAAATTTATTGTGTAGACAAGTCGTGTTACTATACTACCTCCAAAGGTATAGTTTGTTTTAAATTCAAGTTCTCATGTTGACAGTTACCAGGACAAACTCAGAAAATGTCATTTTGACTTGTCTGCTCTTGAAGAAGATAGCAACATAAATTAAATAGACCACTGTTTTAGAAATTGAAGTTAGTGGAAATTTAACTTTCTAATTTACTGATCATTATTATCCATTCCAGTTGTCAGTAGCTATTTATCTTGTCAAACATTGAAGTAAACCCATTATTAGCCAGATAGAACTTTTCTTAGCTTCAAGTAAAGTTATGCTATACCACTATTATCGTTTTAGTCTTGTTTATAACTGAGATATATAATTTTTTTGCTTTAAAACTATGATTTAAAATTAATATCGAAGTCTCCTAAATGAGACATAAAGCATTCAGAGTTGCTTACAAAAAAACTCGGAATAAGGTTGTGGGCGGTTCTTGGTATAATGTTATTTTCATATTTTTCACTTCTGCCTGTTTTTCTTGAACTAGAGAATACTGAGAAGTGACTGGTGTCACCTTAGATCTTCCCATTCAGTGCCTCCCTTCTAAAATCCAGCAGGTAGAGATTTCTGTTTTGTTTAGTTTTTAATGCTTATATTGAAGGCCCTTGGGTTATGTTTCTTGAGCATTGGTATCTTAGTGACTTACCTGAACCAGATCATCAGACCTGGCGGAGTTTGAGATTAACTTTAAGAAAGTGTAACTGTAGGGCCGAAGGCCCAGGCTGGGCAGGACGGGAGAAGACAGCACAGCACTGAGAACAGGCAAGAAACAGCTCTTTGGGCTCTTAGACTGAATTGTACTGTAGACTGAATGCTGCAAAAAAATCTGTATTGCCTTTACCAGCATGCCTTAGCGTGCTCATGCTGGAGTTATGACACCTGTACTAATTCGAAAGGTTTCATTTCTATTATTTCCCTAACTTAACCCAGTTTCTCTGTTATAGCATAGTCACACAGGCACAGGGCCCTTTCAGGCCAGCCTTGACCTTTTCCCAAACATGGATATTGCCCACTTTGAAGGAACCTCTGCTGAGGCTTTGTTCAACATTTTATGTTACTTTTTCCCGATAAGGATTCAGGAGTTTTTTTTTATTATGAAAGCCAGAATTGTATCTGTACCAATGTCTTGTTTCAATTATTAATTTTTTTTAATGTGTAATTATTTTGCAAATAATTATAAAATTGTTGAACCATTTGAGAGTTTTCAAATCATGAAATTGAGTGACCGCTGACTAGTGAGGAGACTTAAGGTACCTGTCACCTGTTAGTCGCTGTGGTCATTTTGAACACATACAGTTTTAAGTTTTTATTTTTATTTTTGTGTTTTTTAATTCATCTTTATTGTAAATGTAGATTGCAGAAGAATCATAAAGAACACATGCCAAATTATATAGTTTTGAAGTAGCATTACAAATAATTCTGCAAATGTACATCAAACAAATCTACACCTGATTTATAAATTGCATTCACCTGATCAAAATTTACTCTTGAAAGCATGTTAAGATATTTCTAATATTTCAGGACATAATGTCTAAAAGAAAAAAAACATAACGATAGTATTATTTAGCATGGAATTTTAATTTTTTAGGTAATTTTATTTTTGTTGAGTAGTGCAGGCTGAAATAGTCTTACTATTGTGAAAGGAAACACAGAAATTGTGCAAAAAAATCAGTTGGGTTTTTTAAAACACAAAATAGAAGAATCATCAGGTCATAAAAGCTCTATTTAATGTATTTTCATATTACATCTGGTAATTACATGTAAATCTAAATTTTAGATTTAGATTTAAAATCTAAATCTAAAATTTAGATTTACATGTAAATGTAAATTTGAATGTGTAAGTTTGAATTTCTCAGCAAATTGTTCTTTATCTTACTTCAAAATGACTTTACTATATACCATATAAAAAAGGGTGAAATTAAAATTTTAATACCAAAGGAATTTTTTTATAAATATAGTAATATATACTATAATAAAAGGAATTTACCAGTCTAAAAGAAAATTACGAAATACTATGTGTTATAAATTTTAGTATTTTCATATTTTGGATATATTTTACAATTATCAAATAATATAACAAAAATGTATTTTAATTATATAATTTGAGTTTAGAAAGCCAGTAGGATCCATTTCTATCTAAAATAATCTCACATGTAATGTCCTTCCTAATGAAAAAAAAACATGTCATTGAACTGTAGAAAGACCATTGAAATGCTATTCTGTCAGCTACTAAGATACCAGTAAATGTCAGACTTCCATTTTTTCTACTCGAATTTTGCTCAAGTAGTCGTATTTCATTTACAATGTCTAAGTTCCGGATCAATCTTGGTGTCCACGCAGTGCCACATTGGACAGCTGCACCACTGGATCTATTTCTATAGGATGTTTGGGAATTTTATAGTCATGATTTAACTCTTAGATGTATTTACTTATTCTCCCCTCGTTTACAGGCTGAGTCAGCATTTTTAAATTGTAAGTCATAGCACAATTTATCAATACGGGACCAATTGTTTTGTTTTGTCCCTTTTTTAAATGTTTTAAATATGGTCTGTAAGTGTAAGTATTAATTCTCGAAATGCTTGTTTTAGTTACATATAAATGCACGTGCAGGCACGTGTGTGCACACACACGTACCGAGTCACCATTTAAAATAATTCCTACCATGAATTGCCATCAAAGAAGCACCATCTCATGGTATCGGTGCCATTTAGAAGGCAGTGCATCCCGAGCAAGGAGCTCGCAGTGGTTACTTTGTCGCTTCTAGACAGGTAGACTCTAAGTTCTTCCTTTACTTTAATCTTGGTTGTGAGTACCCAGAGCTCTCAGCGTTTATTCCCTCATCTCCCTGGTCACCCCTTACCAGTCTAGTCTTTTTACCACAAAGTCTCCAAAAACAGGACTCCTCTCAGGTCGGTCTGTCCACCCGCTGGTGCTCCTTGACACCGCCGCCCGTTCCACCCGACCCAGTGCCCAGCTTAAGTCTCATCTCAGCCACTCAGTCGACACTCATCTCTCCCTCCTTTGTTTTTTACCAATAACTTGATAAAGGTGTGATTGGAAACTCAGTTAAACGGGGCTGCTTTAAGGTAATACATATGTCTCTCAATAGTAGAAATGTTTGCATTACGGTTAGCACTAGAATATGTATCTCTCTCTGTCTTTTTCTTTCTAGATCCTGGTTAGATAACAATGGGAAAAGTGCTGTTAAAAAGCTGGAGAATAGTCTGCCACTTAGAAAAGAACTAGATCGTTTAAAAGATGAACTGTCTCATCAATTGCAGCTCTCAGATATCAGGTAATAAAGAGAGAACCGAACTTCGAGATTAAAATAAACGTGTGTTACCTATTGGTAAAGTTTTCCAGCGGTTAAATATTTGCATCTTTAACTATTTGGATAACTAAATATTCTTCACTTATCTTTTTGTGAAAGTATTGAAATATTCATCCATGTTAGAAAACTATTATCAGTTTCTTTTTTAGAACAGTAAAGTATGGTTTAGATACTGATATATATTTAGCATAATAGTTGAACTTTTTTACATGAGAAGTTTCTAGAAAAAAATATCCTTGTCCATATACACGTTGTTGTGGCGCGATCAATTCTAAGACCCACAGAGCCAATTGAGATGAATTATGAGCCTTTATTAGCCGGCCGGGACTGACTCTCTACCATGCAGGATTCGAGGAGATCGGCCTCGAGCTCCCAAAAGAGGCAGCTTATAAAGCCTAGCCACACCCTAGTTAACATCAAACAAGCAAGCAGATTACAGAATCAGAAGTTGGCCATTAGCATATCTTTGCCCAGAACCGCACCCTTAACACACATAATATGTAAAAAATAATTATTCCCCCATCACGTAAGATTAGTATTCAAGTTTAAAAAGAGGGAGAGAGAAGTGGATGTTATGTTCTTGGTTCTGTGTTATACAGCATGACTTCTTAAGTTTTCATAAACTTGGAAATAGTTATATAAAGATACATGCCGAAGTCCAGTACAAAAATAGACACAACAGCTGCTCGAACTGTAACGAAGGGAAAGGAGAGGGTCACGTGATTCAGTCATGGGACTCCCCACTACAGTAACCCTGAGCAGTCGTCACCCAGTCTCGTGCTTCGACGTGTCTGTTACCGGTTGCTGTAGCTCGTTTTGTTGTTTTCAACCCTCATCCTCAGGACTTTTCTTACACTGAGCCAGACGACTGTTCGTGCACCGCAGTAGCCCTGTTAACGTCTGCCTGCAGAGCCAGGTAGCGCTGCACGTTCTGTCCCTGTGCCTTCAGGTTTCACGGGGAGGCGTGTGAACCCGGAGCGGCACCGAGCCTGGGTTTGTGCCGATAGCTGTTCTGTCCTCTTACCATCTCGTCAGTAGTTTTTCAACCACACTTCGATTATGCCGTGGTCTAGTAAAAATAAAGCAAGAAGACCCTTTTTAAACGTTTCTAAAATAAATTAATTAATGCATGTGACTGTAACTTTTTTTAACATAAATTTTAAAAGACCTGTCAAAGCATACTGGGATTAGTAAAATGAAAGGATTTCTTAGAAAGACATAAACATTACTTTGCCATATCGAGAAGAAATTTCTCAGCTTTAATTCTTACTATAGTAAATAGTAATAGATAGAACCCACATGAACAAAGGCTCTTTGGGGTTCTCCATGTTTGAGAGTGCAACAGGGGTTCGGAGACCAAAACAATTGAGGTCCCCCCGCCCCCCGGACGTGACTGCTTCTCCACTTACTGGTCACAAGGTCACAGAGCTAGTAAATCACAGAATTAGAATTCAAAAGTCAGTTTTCTGATACCACTTAAGACCGGTGCTCTTCACATTTGCACAGCAGTGCCTTTGGCATCATGCGAACATCAGGCTCCATTTTGTCACTAAGAGCTAATGCTTATTTATAAAATGAGCAGATTATATGGTGTCATAAAAATCATTCTCTACAATAAGATGAAAAGGATCTGAGAAGCCTAACTGGAATTCCTAATTGGAACTTACATCTAAAACAAAATCATCACCATTGAACAATGTAGAGAAGAAAACAAAAATTTTTTTTCAGAGTCTTTCCCATGTCATCCTCTTATTTTAAAATAGAAACCACGTAGTGTATTTGCTCATTTTAAATCTTCAAATCTCTGAACGTCAGTAGTAATATTTCTACCCTCTGGTAAACAATTCATTTTCCATTTGGTCGCCTCTTGAAAACTGAGCGCGTTCGGAAGCGTGCTGTGTGCGTACTGGAGAAGAGAACTTGGCTTCCCAGGCGCCCAGCAGTCGGGGTGAGTGCTGCCTGCCCCTCGGGTGCTGGCGTTAATGCGCCTGTGTGCTCTGTTGCACTAGGTGGCAGAGGAGCTGGGGCATCGCCCATCGCTGTAGCCAGCTGCATAGTTTAGGCCGCTTAGCACAGCAGAACGTGGAAACGCTTAAAAATGCAAAAGGTAAATGATTTCCATTTTCTTTTAAAATCCACTTCGCTTCTATACACATCTGGAAACCGTAGAGGGAAACTAAATATTAAAAGTCTTTGCAGATGTGAGTGTCGTAGCTGATTTTTAAATCTGTTCCTTTGAATAAATCAGTGACATAAAATTAGCCTTTAAGCTTCTACTAAATTTAATCCTGAATTTATACACCAAATTTAAGTAATCATTTGTACAATGTGAAAAAATAGGAAGCATCTCTGGACAGTGACCAAAGGGTTTGTGTTTCGTCATCAGGATGTACAATAATATTTACAGACCGCTCTGGAATGAGTGCGGTGGGCCATGTGATGCTGGGAACAATGGATGTCCATCATCACTGGACAAGGGTAAGAAAAGCTTAAATGCAAAAAAAAAAAAAATCTCTGATTTGCTATCAACATACCACCTACTTTTGTTTTAAACTATGCTATTATGTCAGTGAACTAAAAAAAATTTTTAATCATAGATATGTGTCTTTTCAGATCAGATGCTTAATATCACGTAGTTAAAATACTTAGAAGACTGATTTTTTTTTTTTTTCCTAAAGGCTTTCTTTATTGTACCTTTTTTGACATCTATATCTTAAGGTATTTGGCATATTCTGTGTGGTGTTCTGGTTGGACTCTTTGCATATGTTACTAGACTGAAAATTATTGGAAGGTAGAGAAATCTCAATAGCCTAAGACAGAGCTTAGAACATAAATGGTACTTTTAATAAGAAGAGAGAACTTAATTTAAATAGCACCTCTTCCATTGAAAAAGATTTGTTTAGAGGACTGATTTTTAAGTCATTTTTTATTTGGAAATTTTATAGTCTTTTTCTGAAGCATAGCCTAAAGGCCTGCATTCTGTTGTTTTGCTTTGTTTTTAACAGATTTATTGTGATATAACTGACATACAGTAAACCGTACATACTTAGCGTGTATAATTTGATGAGATTTGACATATGTGAATACCCACGAAACCATGACCACGGTCAAGACAGTGAACATGTCATCACCCACAAAAGAATGCTCATGTCCCTTTGTCAACTCTGTCTTCCATCCCAGCACCTCCACCCAGCCAAGCACTGGTCAGCTTTCTGTCACTATAGATTAGTTTGTATTTCTAGAGTTTTATATAATTGGAATCATAGAGTATGTACTTTTTTGGCAGGGAAAGTGCCTGATTTCTTTTACTCGGCATAACTTTCGAGATTCATGCATGCCATTGCATGCATCGAGAAAAGTATTCCTTGTTGTTGCGACGTAGCGCTCCATCGTATGGGTTTTCCACCGTTTGTTTATCCACTCACCTATTGACAGATGTCGGGTTGTGTCAGTTTCTGGCTATTAGAAACAAAGCCGCTGCTATGCACAGTATCTACAGATGTCTGTGTGCACACGTATTTCTTTTTCTCTTGGGTAAATACCTGAAAGTGGAATGGCTGGATAGTTAAGGTATTTTAACTTTTTAAGAAACTGCTAACACTTGCTATGGTCTTCTTAATTTTAGCCATTCTAATGAGTGTTGGTACTATCTCATCGTGGGTTTAATTTGCATTTCTCTAATGACGAATGATGGTGAGCATCTTCTCATGTTTTCATTTGCCATCCACATACCTTCTTTGGTGAAATATCTATTCAAATCAAATAGATGTTGATCGATATCTAAAAGACACATATCTTGGTCGAAAATATTTGCAAACCACATCTCTGACAAAGTCTTCGTATATAAATATATAAAGAACTCGCAAAACTCAGCAGTAAATTTAAAAAAAAAAAAAATCCAACAAGAAAATGGGGAAAGGACACGAACAGGCCTATCACAGAGGAGGACATACAGATGACAAACAGATGCAGAGATGTTCAGCACGATCAACTATAGGGAAATGCAAATTAAGACTACAATGCGATATCACTACACACCTACCAGAATGGCTAACGTGAAAAGTAATGACGCCACCACATTCTGGTGAAGGCGCACAAAAACTGGATTACTCAGCCATGCCGTTGTGTGTCAGATGGCACAGGCCCTCTGGGAGACAGTCCGGCAGCCTTTTGTAATAATTAAATATGTGCTTACCACGTGGCCCAGGAGAGTCACTCTTGGGCATTTATACTAGAGAAATGACAAATTCTGGAGACACAAAAACCTATACACAAATGTTCATAATAGCCAAAAACTAGGGGGAATAAAACCCCTAATGTCCTCCAGCGTTCGAATGATTTACAAAAGTGTGATACATCCCCACCGTGGAACGAACGCCACTCAGCAGTGATGAGCAAGGAACTCCTGACACATGCGGCTGCGTGGGTGGGTCTCGGGCATCGTGCCGAGTGGAAAAAGTCAACCTCGAAAGATTGCATACTGTGTGATTCCATTTATATGACATTCTTAAAATAATAAAATAGAAAGAACAGATGAGTGGTTGCCAGGGGTTGGGGCGTCGGGGAGCAGAGGTGTCCGTGGCTGTAAAGGTGGAGCACAGGGATCCTTGTGGTGGCACTCGTCTGTAACTTGACTGTGGTTGTGTCACATGGATCTACACTGGATAAAACTGCCTACAGTTAAGTACACGCACACGCAAATGAGTACAGGTAAAACAGGTGAAATCTGGATGAGGTCAGTTTCCTGGTTGTGACAGTGTACTCTAGTTTTGCAAGATGTTACCATCGGGGAGACTGGATGGAAAATGTATGCATCTACAGTTCTCTCAAAATAAAAAGGGTTTAAAATGTAGAGACCATTTATACAAGAATAACCCATTGAGAAACGAATTTAAAACATAAGCAGTAAAATGATTAGAAGTCTATTTTAAACCAATTGTAGAATTTTTATGCTGCTGTTGCTTTTATTACACTTCGATGTCTTCTGAGACTTTGATGTCTTCCGACCCCTAGCGCTGTCTGTGTGAAATGTGAGTCTTCAGTGTAGCACACGCGGGCCGCCCCGGACCTGACCCCACCAGCCTCCTCAGCCTCTTTGCACTCACCGACAGGCGTGCCACGCTGCTGCCACACCAGACACCTTTGTGAACATGCTGTCCCAACTCGTGCCTCCATGTTGGCACATCTTTCTCTTCCCCCGAGACAGTCCCACATGCATCTCACCTTTCCCGGTCTCTCCTCTTTTCACATGGGGCACGATAGACTTCCTTAGTTACTTTTGCTCGCCCTGCTCTGTATCCACTCACCTTGACATGGCACCCAGTATGCCGAAGTCTTATTTCTGTTTTGTTTCCTTGCACCCCAGCTGTGAGCCCCTGGCAAACAGGGACAGACTGATGCTCTGTGCCCTCCAGGTGCCCAGTTTAGTGCTTATGTATGTGGTAGGTGCTCAGTAGCATTGACCACATTTAATTTAATTAGATGGGTTAAAGCAAATTCCGAAGAAATAGACTTGGAGTTGAAATACATATACTTTATTTCTAAAACCCTTTATTATACCATTTAAGTATTTAAACAAATTTGAGATTTTTGCCTGAATATCTAAGTATTAGCACTTGGGACTTATTTTTATTTGGAACATATTTCTTTTTTTCTGCAATCACTTCAATTCCTATCTAAAAATCCCTAAGATTTATAGTTGTTTGTTTTGAATATTAATATTTCCAGCATTACATTAAGTCTCTTATTTCTTACTTGAACTTCCTCTTAGTAAATAATTTTCTTATGAAAATTTCTCAGTACCATTTATTGGAATCCTAAAATTGAACTATTATCATAATGTAAAATTAAATACTTCTTTCCTTTTTTAAAAAAATCTTCTAGCTTTTTGAAAGGTTACCAAGTTATTTTGACCTTCAGAGGAGGCTGGTGCTTTTAGAAGACCAAATAAGCTATCTTCTAGGTGGCATACAAGTTGTTTATATTGAAGAATTACAGCCAGAATTGACACTTGAAGAATATTACGCTCTTCTTAATGTATTCTATAAAAGACTGTTGAAAAACAGAATTCCTTTCCATCCTCGAAGTCTGCGTGGTTTACAAATGATCCTTAACAGGTAAATATCTAAAACAAGAATGACTTATCCATTCACTTAGGTGGTTGTGCGTGTAAGTGTGTGATTCTTAGGAATTAAACAATGTCACTACTTCTGTTAGCAACATTTTTACACATTAGAAAAGCCAACATGACAGGATTAAAGGATTGAATCTCTAGAACATTCTGTAAGTATACTGCCATTTATAGGGCAAAGTCGGCGCTGGATTAAACTAATGTTAAATCAAGAGCCAACATTTTTTGTGATAATAGTACTTTCCAGGTACTGTGCTTGGAGCTTAAATGCATTATCTCTCTTGCTCTCACACCCTTACCATGAAATGGGTTACCACCCCCATTTCTTCAGTCTCAAATGTGACTAAGTTATACAAATAATCAGGCTGCAGTGATGAAAGTTTTGACTTTGTCCCTAGTATAATTTGCATTGAAATACTTTATGAAATAACTGGTGTTAGCACATTCCACTGAGCAAAACCGTCAAACTGACATGTCTTAAATTGCTTACTGGACTGAATAAACTGTTCTGTCCAGTTAAAAAAAAAAAAAATTATAGACGAGGAAGGTCACAGGGCTAGGAAATATATGGTCATCCTGATAAAGTGTGTCTTTTGGAAGACAGCAAAACTTTTAAGTCATTTTGGTTATACTTTTTCGGTGGATTTTCTCGATGCATTTCTTTTCCGTTAATCAGACTCATAAAATCTTTTCTTGGGGGGCGGAGGGAGAGACGGAAGGAATCGATGACTTTTCCTTTCTCATATCCTTCATTACAGTGACAGATATGCGCCCAGCTTGCATGAACTCGGGCATTTTAACATCCCAGCCCTCTGCGATCCAGCAAACCTCCAGTGGTTCATCCTCACCAAAGCCCCACAGGCCAGAGAGAACTTGAAGAGAAAAGACGAGTGAGTGCCCTGAGCCCCCCGTGATGTCTTGTCATTCCTTCTAACTTTTAAAAATGCAGGTATTCAGAATTCATAAATGGGAAACATTAAAGGTCTATTTAACTTAGGAAATCGACTGAGTTGTGAATGTTCCATATTCACTTATTCCCCACCTTGTTTGGCCAGGGATTGGCAAAGGCTGTCTCCTAATAACCTAAATTATATTGCCACCATGTACCTCAATTTGAGAAGCAGGGCTTCTTAATCTAAAAGTCAACCCAGGAGCAGAACGAAAGATAAGAAAGCAGGAAAGAAATTCTGCAGGCGGAAAAGGGTGACAACAAGGACAAAAAAGCAGTGAGTGCTTGACTGCCAGGAGCCTTCATTGTTTCACATTTTGAAAACTACTGAGAGAGAGCAAGCTTCATCTGCATTTTAACGAGACATGTTAAAAAAAAGAAGTCATTTTAGTTCATAAGCAAATGTTAAAGTAAAAAAAAAAAATCATTTTAGTTCATAAGCAGTGCTGATGTTGCTTGATAATTATTTTTCTAAGGATGTTGCCTGAGGAGGTTTGGTTGCCGAGGTTCCATTGCGTAGTCACCATTTGCTGTGACCGTTGTGTGTCCACAGCTGTGACAGGTACCAGTTAGACAAAGTGAAGGCCTGGCTGGCTGGTCTCTGCCCTTCTGGAATGTGTCCAGTAGGAGATGTGAGTGCTATAAATAGGTCAGTGGTCTCTGGACCGCAGCGTGGAGTTTCGCAGGCCGAGCCAAGGCCAGGGCCCTTGGAGAGGGAACAGGAGCCCTGAGTTGGGGGCGGTGGCCGAGGAGCAGGACTGTGGTGGCCGAGGAGCAGGACGGAGGTGGCTGAGGAGCTGGAGGCCGACGGCCCGAGCGCGAGGAAGGCAGGGCCTGGAGCCTGGTAGGTGGTGGTGGTTCCGCAGTGGTCACTTATTGCTGCCCGTCCACTCCTCCGTGTCCCCAAACTGCTTGTTTAAACAGCCAAGGATATGAAATAGGGAAAGGTGGCAGCAGAGGAGAGCCATGAAGGTCGACCGTTTAACAAGAGACGGTGGGTTCATTTTATATCTAAAATAAGTGACGGAGCTGCACGTCTGGCTTGTGGAATTGGTGACAGCCGTTGGCCAGTTCCCATCGCACAAATATGCTGCTGCTTCACTGGTTGATAAAATTGGTGTTTGTGATATTGCTTTTCTAAGTCGCGAGGCCGCTTTAACCGTGGGGAGCAGTCGGGGCCGATCTTCGGTTGTCATGATGGTGGTTTTGGTTGCTACACCATCGCCGCTGCTTTCTCTCTCTTTTGCTGTGGCCATTTGGTAGCTTTGGAGTAGTATGGCCACTAGATTTTAAGGAAGGAGAATAAAAAGAAATAAAATTCAAATAGGTGGGATTTTGAAAGTTCTTCCCTACCAACTGCTCAGAGAAATAAAAACTCTCGAGTGCTTGTCATTCCGTTGCCAGCCTCCTCTCCCCCACGTTCGGTCCCCCTCTGCGTCTGCCCAGAAGCCGGCCACTGCTCCTGTCCTTCGCCGCCGCACCCCGGCCTAAGCTTCGGTCACCTCTCTGGTCCCCAAGCTTCCACACTCGACCTCTCACCTCACCCCAGTGGATTCTCCTCAGAGCAGCCAGAGCTGCACCCCTCCGGGTCCCCGCCAGAATGTGGCAGCCGCGGCCCGGCGGCTTCAAGGCCCCATTGTCCTCGCTGGTTTCGCTGCGGCCACATTCTCCTTTTCATCTTCCTGGAGCACAGCGGCGGGCGGGCCTCGGTTCCCACGCCCAGAGCACTCCCGCTGCCCTGGCATCTTCCCCGTGTGCCCGTCACCTCCCTTGTGTCAGCTGCCACCTCCGCAAGGCCTCCCCGTGCACACCGCGCGGAGCCGCCTGCCTCTCCGCCTGCCCCGGTCCTCCTGCCCCGTCGCACTTAGCGCCACGGGCCTCTCATGTGTTCAGTGTCTCCCCGGAGAAGGTGTGCGCCTCCCGAGGTCAGAGGCCCTTGTCTGTTTTGCTGATCCCCCCCTCCCCTCCCCCACTGGCCCCTCCCAGCGCGGGGCTGACCCCCCACGGGGGAGGCACCCTGCAGGGTGGCCGGGCAGCCTTCCTCAGTCATGACCTGAGCCCGTCCCCTCCACCCGGCTGGCCCTGTCAGGTCACCTTCCCGTGGCACCCGGCATGGCCAGGACCGCCTTCTTTCCTTCCCTAAGCCTGTGCTTAGTGGTTTTCAGACACTTTTTAGCTGCTCATCTCTGTACGAAGTGGATTGAGTGGAAACCCAGTCACAAAAAGGAAAATGCTGGCAGGTGCTCCAGGTGATGAGGAAGGGGCTCGAGGCCACCACGCCCGGGGCCTGAGCACCCGCCCGAGCGAATACCGGGGTCCTCTTCCTAGAACCCTGTGACCACAGGACTGCGAGACTTGTATGCCCGTCTCTGACCGCTGCCCCGCTGATGGGCAGAACGTGTCCGCTCCTGCGGAGCCCCACGCCTGGCAATAACCTAGCTCGGGGCCCTTACTGGGGTGGTGACAGCCCGGGGTGGGGGGTGCGGGGCGGAGTAACCAGCCTTCTTGGCGGTAACTCAGTCAGGTGTTTCCTCTTACCCTGTATCACCTACTGTAAATGTCAAAATCACTTAGACGAATTGGAAACAGAAATGTACAATGACAGAGCGGCTACATGATATTGGTGCACATCGTGCCAGCACCCACTTAAAACACCGCTCATTTACTCAGCTAATATTTATCGAGCACCTTGGTGCGTGGCAAGCACAGTAAGTCACCAGTAGCACACAGTGCAAACTGACACACACCCTTGTGGAACTCACGTTCAGATATCAAAGGCAGAGCGGTTAAACTTCGTGTTAAAAAAAATAACAGACGAGATTCGCGTCGGAGGAGAGAAGGGTCCTTCCCCCCTGGGACACGCCTGGCCCGTTTCCCAGCATTGGGAGGAGGAGGACGCCCCAGCAGCCGCACTCGCCGTGTCATGATGCTGCTCCCCCCGTCCCTACTGCGCCTCCTCCTCCCTCTCTTTTTTTTGTTAGGTGTGAGTATAAGAAATTATAAGGAAAGGCCAAAAACAGTGTTTGAAAATATTTTTTAAATTAGTCTGCTGTAGACGGCAGAGACACACAAGCACAGCCCGAGAGAGCCTTCGCAAGGGCTGTCTTCTCGGGGTTCAGTGCCCCTTTGAGACTGCACCCCAGGACTGACGGGCTGCCCCTATTAGAAAAGTGGTGACCCCAGGGGTCAGGGGAACCCCCGGGATGAGACGGGGCGGGACTGCAGGGCCTGCCCGGAGGATTCCACAGAGGTCGGAGAGGTGCATGGCCGCTTGGCCACACTGCGGGGTTTTCCATTTCTGAGCCGGACTGTTCGTATCTCTGTTTTTGAGCACGTGAAAAAGTTTGTCATCCCCAGCTGTCCACGGTACCCGAGAAGTCTCGCTGTGGGATCCTAAAGAGAGCGGACATTCCAAGACCCCTGTCAGGCCTCTCTGCTGTCCACCTTCTCTGCTGTCTAAGCAGCGTTGTCTAGAAGGAGTCATCATCCTACGGAAGAGTGAACAGCACTTGAGGAAGTGTTTCAGGTGTCGGTGAGGACAGGGCTTCGGTGAGGACAGCCCACTGCTGCTGACTGCAGACTGACTGCAGTGGCCATGTCCGTGTCCAAGTATTGTCCTGGCTTATGGGTATTTTATGATACTTTTCCCTTTTATGCAGAGTTTTAAGATCGGGTAAAAGAGGATATTTGGGTACTTTTAACCAGCACAGTACTTAAATGAGACTAGTTCGGGAGCCCTTGACCATGACGATTTTGCTTTTCTTACCTTCTCACCTGGGCTTCCCAAGTGACGTACACCTGGGAGGCCTGCAAGGCGGAGCCCTCTCACATATCCGGTTTGGGACTGAATCCGCTTCCTAAATACCACATCCTGAACATTTGCCACCTGCGAGAGAAAGGATGGAAGACGCTGCGTTCTTTGTGCCTTGAGATGTTTACTTTGCACCTTCACCTCAAGCCCTGGATGGACCAGAGACAGTGCAGCCTCAGGCAGAGGGGCGGGCGCAGGGGCGGGGGAAGGAGGGAGGGTGGCTAGGACCCGGCCTCTCCGGCCAGCGTCCCTGTGAGCCCGCTGTTTTTTCAGGAACCGCTAGTGGCAGTCACGCTGCCCAAGGGTCAAACCCTCAGCTTTCTGCTCTCTTCAGTCGCTGACACTTACTAGCCAAGGATGAGAGCGTTTTAGGTTATGTATTAATTATTTTTACCCCATTAATCCTAAAAAGATTTAACAAATACTCTTAGAGATTCATGTGGAAATAATAGATACTGCATGATAAGATTGGCATGTCTTCTAAGCATATAATGTGGCCTTTGTGACTGTCATTTTCAGCATTGTGAGTAGAAAGGTATAGCTCTGATATATAAAAATATTTCCGTTTTTTTTTTGCTTATGGCAATATCGGTTTTTGTTTTTATTTTTGTGTTTGTTTGTTTGCTATAACAGGTTAAAGGTTATTGAAAATGAATTGATACAGGCTTCGACAAAGAAATTTTCCCTGGAGAAGTTTTATAAGGAGCCCAGCGTTTCCAGTAAGCAAATGGTGGATTGTTGTAAGAGACTTCTAGAACAGTCACTGCCTTATCTGCAAGGGATGCACCTCTGCGTGTCCCATTTCTACTCTGTCATGCAAGATGGAGACCTCTGTATTCCTTGGAACTGGAAAAGTGGAGAAGCCATTAAGTAACACAGAAACTATTATTTTTTAAAGAGATCAGAGAAAAATTGTTAAACTTATTTAAATCCACGATTTGACATAACAGTATTATTTACCTATTACAAGAACAAAGTTTCTAGCTGCTGTTTTAAAAGTAGACTTTTTTTTTTTAATAATGTCTGCTGGAAAACTTGTTTTAAAAAGGTCTTATCTCTCAGTCTTATGTATTTCTTATCCGATTGGCAAGACTAGGTAGAAAGCAGCCGAGGTGAAAACATGTTTATAGGGGTGCATCAGGGATTCTACAGAATTACAGGTCTATATTTTTATATGAGCGAGTGAGGATAAACGGGTCTCATTCACTATAGCTCTGAAGTAATGGAACTCACTTCCCCGTGTAACCCAATTCCACATGCAGCTTTATAATCTCATCTCACGTGTTGGATGCACACATGCATTTTGCATCCAGTACAGACAGTTGATGTCCAAAACAGATGACCGATGAGTAATGAAAACTAGATAACCAAATTTTGCCTGAAAGAACAAGTAGAAGGAAAATCGCAGTTGAATGAACACATGGTATTGACCTTGTCCTAAGGGGTCGGATACCAGTTTGTTAAAACATCTTCAGTGACAGAGAATTTAGTTTTAAACCCATAAGTTTTCCTACCCATTAAAATAGTGTGACTGTTGGTAGCATGAAACCAACAGACAGTGAATTTTTTTTAATCATTTAATAATTAGGTGACTCATTTGTCGCCGTGGAAAAACACTATCTGGGAAAATTCTCGTTTGTTTCCCAAAGAGTCCCAGGAAGTAGGGTCAAGGGTAAAACGGTTGCAGCCCTTCAGGATTTCCGTCACCCTTCAGGATTTCCTTGCCGTGGAAAAACACTATCTGGGAACATTCTCGTTTGTTTCCCAAGGAGTCCCAGGAAGTAGAGTCAAGGGTAAAACGGTCGCAGCCCTTCAGGATTTCTGTCGCCCTTCAGGATTTCCGTCACCCTTCGCAACCCCGGTCTTCCTGTTCCCGCCAGCGTTTGAAAGTACCTTTCATCTGAGCCACCCCTAGTCCCTAGGGGTGGACTCCCCGTAGTCACAACACAGCCCAGCCCCAAGTGACATGGCATGCCCTCTCTGTAGGCATTTCTCCTAGGGCGTTTTTAACCAAATCCAACACTCCTTCAGGACACAGTAAATCCTAATCTGGGACACTATTTT